AGGCACCGTGTCAACGGTCCGAGACTGAAAGAGGACGCGACGAAACTGTAAGACTGCACTTTTCGAGTCGTTCGCGGAGTGTTAGAGAGGCTCGGGAATGTGAATTTGGAGATGTGCTGAATTGGGTAGTTAATAATGACCGTTTTCGGACTGTTTTAGGCTTTGAATTAGATGGAAGGTCTGACTGAAATTAAATGTCTCGAAACCCTACTCTAAAATGAAATTAAATGGTTGTGTGGGTGTTTGCGCATAAGGTAGGGGTAAGGGAGGGGGATCGGCTTATGTAAAAAACCGGACTGGTGGTGCTACACGTGAATGCTTTCTGTATCTACCTTGTTGAAATAAAGAAGAGAGCATCCTCTGAAATTTATTCGCATTCATTCAACCCTATCGTCAGAAGCAATTGCCATGAATGTCACATCTCGAAACCTTTGGATGAAGGTAATGTTGGAGTAAATTTCATTTTCTTTGAAGAGGCGAGTGGAAGATATTCGTAAGTTGGTTCCACCGGAAGCTGTGGGGGGATTGCCTTGGAGCTGTGATTGTAGATTTGCGCGAATAGGTCCTCGGCACATCGCCATGCGATCCCGATGAATCCCGATGTGACGGACATTGTCAGAGCAGTTCCACAGGCTTAACGATAATTCACCATAAACACGAAGGCCTACCTACCTCTTATGGCCCAATTTGGTCCACTTAGACAGCTCATGGTTCAGTTGGGTATCCTGTGCTTTTTTCGTTATTGATTAGGTTTTCGAGACCACCAGTAAATCAGATATATGAGATGTGCTCACCCTATTTCGTTTAAGGTGATGAAGAACCGGTAGCTGAATTTTCCCTCAAGCATATGAGTAGGGCTGACGTTTTCATTGAATTTCACATAATCTCAACAGAGACCTTCCTTGAAATTCACATCTGCCCTGTGACCAAAGGGCATTCGTGTCAATATGGAGGAGTGGTCAATGTGTCTAACTAACATGCCTCACTGTCATAGTTTGACTCCAGCTTGGGGTGTTGATAAGACCTATGCGAGTTCAAAACTTCAGTCCATTCTGGGTTGGAACACCTTTTGGGAAAGCAAGCTTATGTGAAATTCAATGGAAGCGTAAGCTCTACTCATATCAATGTGGGGAAATTCTACTACCAGTCCTTCATCACCTTAAACGTAAAAGGTTAAACACATCTTATATATCTGATTTACTGGTGGTTTCGAAAACCTGCTCAATAGCAAAAAAAACACAGGATACCCAACCAAAACATGAAGCCGAACACCTTTCTTGCATTCGTGTTTATGGTGAATTTTCGTTAAGCATGGTGTACTGCTTTGACGATGTCAATCACATGACGAACGAAGGCTCAGCAAGGATCCATTGGGGTCGCATTGCGGTGCTCCGAGAGCCTATTCGCGCAAAGCTACAATCACAGCTCCAAGGCAACCCCCCACAGCTTCTGGTGGAACCAACTTACGAATCCCTTCCACTCGCCTCTTCACATGAAATGAAAAGTACTCTAATATAAATCTATTAACACAGTTTTTTACATACAAATATTGAGCTAGTTTTGTACTGACGAAATTCGGTCACAATGTCGATTGATAAAATGCTGTTTTTTCCCGTCCATTCGACTGGAATATGTCGCGGCAATTTCGAGCCGCACTTACTGCATTTTGCCCACAGGCCTGTGGTTAGTTCAAGTCAGTGCATGGCTCCTAGATCACATCAGTCGTTTGTCTGTCATCCAGCTTCGGCCACACACACTTAGCCGCTACGAGTGCAGGACCCTGCAGCACAAATACTGCCTCAGGCGCACGCGATCTCTCTCTTTTTTGCTCGCCCTCTAACTCAAATAGGCCCGATCGATCGCGAAGTCTGCCAGTCTCAGCTCACAAGCCTTGCTTTTTGACTGGCCAATGGAGAATCGGCAACTTGGTTGGCTCTCAAATTGTGCCTCTTTTTTTGCCTGAGCATAAACTCCCGGTCGAGGGTTGTTTCTGCGACTCGGCTGGGCCGGAGAATCGTGGGGAAAATGTCGTAACGGCGTCAAAAAGCCTGCCTACGGCTAACTTTATACATCACGTACACTTCTTGCTCCAGCATCTATTTCAGCCATCCGCAAGCATGAAGTGGCCAGTCAAATGATGCGATAACTCAATGGTTCCCAAACTTTTCCTAGTCGCGGCGCCCTTTTTTAATTAAAATGTTTCCATGGCGCCTTACCCTTAGTATGAGTATTCGTAAGAGAAAAAAATAAATAAAACTCGGATATCTTCATTATTTTTTTTACTTTATTGACATTACATTAATATTTAATAATTAATGTGATAAATGAGCCTGCAAATCACTGCACATTTTCTTAAATTGAAGCTTTTACAATATTTCGCGGCGCCCCTGTAAAGAGGCCGTGGCTCCCCGGGGCGCCACGGCGCACAGTTTGGGAATCACTGGGATAACTTATTAAGATAA